TCCCCGGTGGCCGCTGGTGGAGCTTGTGTTGCTTTGCCGGCCTCTCTGCTTCTGACACCCACACACTGTAAGGACAGGCTTCCTCTGGGCTTTTGGGACTGTTAAGCTCAAACATTTCTTTTTTGCTGATTTTCAATGAATGTCCTTTGTCCCAGGGCAATGATCCATTTTTTTTTTAACCACAGAGCTTACGGGGATGTGCTGCCACATCACGTTGGGGGATGACTCAGAGCAGAGAGGAGAGAAGAGCATTTAGCAACTGCCTGCACACATGGTCACCTGGCAGTGCTCGCTTTCATGGGACATTTTAGTCTTATAGATTGTCTTAGATTGCAGGTGCCACTGAGAAAAGTGATATCATTGTTTTGATTTATATGTTAATGAAACGAGAATAAAAGAAGCCCATTGAATTATCAATCGCATGAAATGACCAAATGTCATTCCTCAGTTCTAACGATTTAAGTAATGGAATGTGAATGCATCAGAAGAGAATGAATCTTAGTGTTTCTTTTAATCACATACATGTTTCTGCTGGTAGAAAGCTTTTAATATGTCAGTCTTTTCACACTAGACCAGAACAAACTCACGAGAAAGCTTTATATACAGTAAATATCATTTTATTTTTAATTAACTAATTTTTAGTGGTATCAAAGATTGAACCAGAGCATTGGCACTGAACTACCTCAGCCCTTTCTGATTTTGAGGCAGTCTTGCTCTGCCATTAAGTTGCCCAGGCTAAGCTTGAATCTTTCTGCTGATACTGTAGACACAAACCGTATTTCTGGCTCATAGAGTTTTAAAAAGAAATCAAGAAAAATGGGCTTCAGATGTACACTACAGTGGTGGACTCCTGCAGGTGTGATAAGTAGATTGCCGCAGTGTAGCACATTTGCCCCAGACATTGCTTTGTCCTTACTTTGCAGGCTGGTTTTGTGGCTTCTCTACCACTCGCTAACTGTTGGCTTCAGCTACTAGAAATCTGAAATTGTGAGAAGATGGTGCAAGCTGGGGGCTGCTGTACCAAATTACCATAAACTTAGCGACTTAAGCAACTGTACTATTTTAGAGTTTATAAGTTAGAAGTCACAGACAACTCAGAAATTTAGTCTTCTGATGTTAATAAAATCAAGCGATCAGCAAAGTTTTGTCTCTTCTTAAGTTTCTAAAAAAAAGAACCCATTTCCTTTTCCAGTTTATAGGGTTTGCCTGCATTCTTTGGCTTATAGCCACATTGCTCAAGCCTCTGCTGTGACCTACATTGTCTTCTGTGACCTCCCTCCCTCCTAGGTGCTTGTGATCACATTGGATCCACCCCAAGAAATCTAGGATAATCTTCCCATTTGAAGATCCTTAGCCTAATTCTATCTCCAAAATTACTCTGCTAGTCACCATTCCAATTCCTGGGACCAAATACCTGATACCCTCAACATAGTGGAGTAAAAGGTTTACTTGACTTACAGAGATTTCAATCCATAATTGCCTGAGTCCAAGCCAGAAACATCATGGCAGGATGACATGGTGAATCAAAGCTACTTAGTTTACAGTTGTCAGGAAGCAGATCAGTGAACAAAGCCAGAGAGGAAGGAACTAGGAACCATATGTAGTACTCAAGGTCATGGCTCTAGGACCCAACTGGACAGGCCCAGAAGTGTGCTTTAATAATCTCCCAGGGAATTAAGATGGGTTATGTACACATACATAATTTCCCACAATGAATATAAATATTGTGTACTACATTCAGGTAGTCATACAATAAAATTAAAAGTCAATCAAATTGATAAAATTAAGGTTAAGATTTACATTTTATGCCTTGTCAACTTCAAAACCAACACATTTCTTTACACCAAATATTTAATCTCCAAGAAGGAAAACAACAAATTTATAATTCTACATAACGTGATACAACTATCCTGTATATAACAGAAGAATGAATAATCCCTTCCTCAAGTATCAAAGTTTTAAGATTGCTAAAAATCCCAGTCTCCTCTAAGTCTGAAGGCAAATTCTTAGCTGTGATACCCTATTAAAAAACTAAAAAACAAGTAACATAATCCTAAAATACAATGGTACAGGGTAGACATTCCAATTTCAAAAGGGACGAAGAAAAGGGATAGAAAAGAATAGCAATAATGCAAGAGTAAAACCTAGCAGGACAAACATTAACACACTCATGACAGGGCTGTGACTCACATGTCTTGCTGCTGGATTTCTCTGATTTGTACATGGTACATTTCCACTGGCTTGAGCCACCAGTGGTATATGGATGGCTATTCTATCACAAAGTTTGTACCACTGTTTTTACAAATAGATCTAATCACTTTTATCATGCTAATGATAAAAGTGCCAAATCCAATCACTTTTAGTCATGCACATGTCACCAGTGGTACAGGGTGGCAGGAATGTATTAAGTCATGTTGCTCCAATTCTGGAATACTGTGTGGTGAAATGTGAATTGTAGAGGGCTTGGGTGGCCCAACCCTTGTGGTCTTGCTGGATGCAACCCCTGTGGTCTATTTCTTAAGCTGGTTCCACTCAAGACCTGCAGGTTTCCTTGGCATCCATTCTGTGATCTTAGCATCTCCAACTTCCTGGAGTCTCCACTGCATCTTTTCTTTATTTTCACTATCTTACACTTTTCCTCTCAGAGGCTTCTTGTGTAGCCTCCTACGGATTCCCTTGAAATCTGAATGGAAGCCTCTCTGACTCCACAACTCTTGCATTTGTATGCTGCTAAAAGCAGAATCACATGCATAACCCAAAATCTACTGTCAATGGGAATGATAGTTAAGCCTTCCACAGACCACATCTACAGTGGCCTCTGAGTGTCTGGCTAGCTGAGCACAGGGAAAGAAATTCTGGGGAACCAATTCTATAGGAGATTCATTTAAATATACTCAGAAGCTTACTTTACTAATTCCCTGGACCTTTCCAAGTTGACATAATAAATGCTAACCATTACAATTCCCTTTGCTGTATAATGTAACATATTCAATAATTCTGGGAATGAGAAAGGGGACATATCTTTAGGGGCATTTTATTCCCTACTATAGAAGCATTCCTCCTCTGTGTGCAAGGTGATCTGGGCTCCTTCTTCCTTGGTCCTTGTAGCCCACGCATAGCAGTGACTTCCTGCTGATGAAAACCTCTGGATTGTGTCATGGTTCCCATATTGGCTAATCGGCCTCTTTTGTCATCTTATTTGGTAATGATTTCTCTGTACCATATTTCCTTTGTGTGAAATGCCCAAAAGGGGTTTTTCCTTGTTTTCCTGGTTTGTTCCTGACTGATGAGGTGAGGTAGTGACCTTGTGTCCTGGTGTCTGTACTGGCGATTTGGGAATAGGCATATGGGGACACCTTAGAATGTCATTTATGTCAGGATTGGCAGAGGCCAACTAGCTATTTGGCAAGAGCCATTTCCCTCCCTCTCCCTCTCAGGTCACAATGTACAGTCAGGTTGGAACTGTGGAAGGATGGCTCATGGTGAGCTATTTGAAGTACACAGGGCCTCCTGATTTCACCCACTTCAGCATCTTGGTGCAGCTATGAATAGCTCTCTAACTGAAGGTTCTGTACAATGAGGTGACTATTAAAGAGAAGCTGTCAAAAGCATTTGTGGGAAGAGACTTGTCTTCCAGTCTGAATACTTGACTTTAAGTTCTTCTATTTACCCTCTGCATGGTCTTGAACAAATCACTGAGTCATCTCACATCAAATGTTTAAGTAGGACAATCATGTTTTACTTTGAGGTCTGCATGAAGGTTAAATAAGGTAATGTATGAAAAAATACTAAAAAATGAAAGCTTTCTATAGGCTAAAAAGTTCTAGAAATACTTACTGAACACCCAAACTTAGAATCCTAGCTGTCCTAACTTGCTACTGTCCTGGAAATTTTTGTCCATTAATTCAAAATCACACCACAGTATACCTAATTACAAACACAGCTTGGAAGGAAAAGTACACACTGTCTCAGAACAAGTGAAAACAGAAACCTGATTTTAGCAGAGGCTCAGGAAAGCCCTGAGCTAGCTGTGAAAGGAGAGCAGGAGTTCTCCAAGCAAAGTAATGGGGAAACAGCAGTTATGAAAGCCCTGGTTAGGATGACTCATGTTGTGCTAAATGACCTAAAATAGCTATTATGACTGGAGCACAAATAGCAAGAAGTGCAAGATGAGGCAAGGAGGAAGGCAGAGCCAGAACATGCAGGATCTTAGCTTTTGTGCTGAGAACCAGGGGAAACTGCTGAAGGATTTTTTAGCAGCGTACATGTGCATGTTCGTATGTGTAGAGGTGATAGGGACAGCTTTACAATTAGCAGAGCATCACTCTGGCTGCTGCTTGAAGAACAGACGGGGGAGGAGGGAGAGAGGATGAGGAGAGACCAGTTGAAAAGGCCTCAGGGAGAGCCCAGATGGTACCTTAGTCAAGAGGACCTGCAACCAGGGACATTGACCAGGGTCGAATGTTAGTGTCTTTCTCAGAGCATCATAGAAGACCTGGATTGACTGGACAACAGTCATGACTCTGGTGCTGGACACACTGAGGAGTCATGGAGACAACCGAGAGGAGACATTCCCATGAGATGCTGGGAAAAGAGTACCCTGGAGCTATAACTTTTTACATTATGGATTTATAAATTAGAACTGAACACTTTGATGTATATATATATATATATATATATATATATATATATATATTGAAGTCTTATTTTAAGCTAGGCACAACTTTAAGCACTTTATGTTAATTCTTTTAATCTCTATAACTGCCTTCTCAGATATTTTCTCCATTTTATAAATGAGGAAAGTGAGATAGCAGAGAGCTTCAATGACTTGATTAAGGTCAAGCAATTAGATCTTGGAGCAAAAACCCTAGGCTGGCTCCAGTGCCAGTGCTGCCAACCAAATTACCACACTGCCGGTCGCTGTCTCTGTCAAGCCAGTGACTCATTCTTAGGATACTGAGCATTTCTAATACGTTGACTTTCTTACAAAATCTGTGTCACAAGTTTTCAGGGTTACGGGAGATATGAGTGTTTCTTGTTGCCATGGTTTGCATAATATAATATACATTCCTGACCCGCTGGAATCCTCCTGTCCTGAGCAGCAGCTGCGTGGAGCTGCAGAAGGAACATGTGCCAGCAACCAGGCCAGGCACAATGAAAAGAGGCCAAGAGTGAAGAGAAGCACACGGTGATTAACTTTCCAAGCAAAAAGATGCTTGGAATGTGTTCAGGGTCTACATCTTTCTGCAGAAGAAGGCTGACCCCACAAACAAGGTAACTACTCGCTTCTATCAGAATCAGGCAAACTTGGCTTTGGAGTTAAGCAGTGAGAGGCCTGCATTTCACCCAGAAACTGTAAATGTGTCATGTTTCCACGGGAAAAAGCGCCACCAGCTTTACTTACAACACCAGTAATGTTTTTGTACTACATAGGCCCCTGCAGCAAGCAGTCTCATCAGCTGAGTGGGCCTGTTCCACACTCCAAAATAGGAGGATAGGCCTAGGGTACATTATATAAACTGTTGATCATGGATACTGATAGGTAGGTTCTGTTATTGTCATGTGCTTTGTGGAAGCAGGGGTGCTGTCCTTTTACAGAAAGTTGTTATAGCTGGTAAGCAGTCCAGCCAAAGGCAGCTTAATGGCTCATAAAATGATTAGATAATAATGAAGGCAGGATCAGGTTTTCTAGTCCTTCTGCATAGCGTAAAAGCATTAAATGTGGCTCAGGGTATGCAGGCCACTGGGGGAAAGTGTTCTGTTTGCTCCCCCAACTAAAAATCCACGTGAGGCCAGCTGCACAAGGAACAGAGACATATCACTACTTTCCTGTTGGTCACACACCCTTCATCCTTGCCACCAAGATGTCACTGCCTGACTGCTACCTTCCCTATTGCCATTGCTGAGCCATTTGCTTAAGAAGTGATGTCAGGGCAGAAAGTAACAGGAACGTGGAGAGCTTTCATTTACTGCAACAAAAATTGAGCTCTTACTGTGTGGTTACTGCAAGAGGTACTTCAAAGAAGAGGGGAACTCAGGCCTGCCCTCCAAGGAGGGAAACTATCAGTGATAAACCTAAGGCAAACTGTGACTGGGGACATGAAATACGGAGGTGATGGCCTTGGGTATAATTCTAGAAAAACTGGCAGAACTTTTAAGAAGATGCGGAAGGAGGCGAATTTTCAAGACAATGGAAAAAACTGCAATTGTAGGTTTCTACCTAAAATACAAAGGGCGTTTCCTGGAGACTTGAGGTGTTCCCAGATAGGGTGGATTGTTTCATGAAGGAGGGACTTTCTATGGCCACATGTTAAAAGGGTTCTCACTTTGGGATTTGATTTCATGGACAATGGCATTTCCTTATACTCAAAGGCTTTATTTTATAAAGCTTTAAGTGGTCTTTTATTTTCTTCATAAATTTTTAGCTTACAAAGCAGTTATTTCATATAGACATGCAGACCAATATACTTTGAGTCCAAAAGTTTTCTATTATGTATTGGGGAATTAGATGGATATTTCACACCTTCTAAATATAGAGTTGTATGAAAATGGCACCTGTCATAGAAACAGTTTAAACAGAACTGAGTAATACAGTAGTCAAAATTACCTTTAAATATTCATTCCAAAATGTGAAACAGACTGTGTGGTTTTTACTGACAGGTAGAAATTTTAAAATATATGCTAGGTTATTCTTTTTTAAGGTAGACAATACAAATACATCTTAATAATTCGAATGTCCCAAGCAAATCTGCTTCCTACCTCCATTCTTTAATTCCATAGTGACCCCTTCCCAAAGGCAGCCACTGTTACAAGCCACTTACTTATGTATTCCTCCAAAAAGAGATGCACAAAAATAAATGTGTGTGTGTGTGTGTGTGTGTGTGTGTGTGTGTGTGTGTGTGTGATGCTCCATCCACTATTCTAAAAGCTCTGTTTTGGAAAACTCTTTATATCATTACTTATTTATAATTAATAGCTACACAGTATTTATGATATACTGTATAACTTTTTTTCCTATGTATTTCCAATGTATCTTACAGGATACTTCTCTGTAAGTATGTATTGTGTGTACTGTGTAGTATAATACTAGGGTAAAGTAGCACATACTACACTGTGCATAAAATTTCTATTATTCATGTAACCTTGCATCCATCTAATCTGACACCACTGTCATTATCCCCACCCTGATAGAATGGAAAACCTGATAGGAGCAGGCACTTTGCCTGATCGTACCGGTAATCTATAACACTTAGAAACCCGACTTGTAGGTGCTCAATAAATATTATATTAATAAGTGGATAAACTGTAGCAAAATATTTGTTTAATTATTCTTCTAAGAAACTTAAGATACTTTTAAAACAACTAAAGAAAATTCCTATATTTTACTTCCATAATGCCAGCAATGTATCTCCACTATAGACAGTTTAAAAAGTTAGAAAAATAGCAAAGTTAACAATTAGTCTGGATACTCAGAGGTTAATATGGCTAACATGTTTGTACCTTTACTTTAACCTTTTCCTTACATATGTTTTAATGTACTTGTAATTTTATTTTTCTCCTGGTTTTTTATCCTTTTTTTCCAATACATTTTAAGTATATTTTTCCATAAAAACTTCATAGGTATCTCTTTAAATGATTATTATGTAATAGAGTTAAAATTTTTATTAGTTTTTATTCATATCTTTAAAAACTTATTTTATTGTAGTACATGCAGTTTACAATCATCTTGGGAGAAGAAACGTGTATATTCTACAGCTTGATTTTTTTTAATCCCCTTTCTCTGTTTCCTCCCTGCCTCTTCCTCTAATTCTCTTACCCTATTTTTCATTCTTGTTGATATTATTAATAGTTATTAATAGTATATCTTGATAATATTAATGTCATGTTATGGCATATAATGATTACATTCACTGAGATTATTGGGTTCCTCTGCCATGGCATATCTTTATTCTGTTTATTTTTCTTCTCTTCCCTTCCTCCTCATCCCTCATCTTTGTTCCCTTGGACCCCTTCCTTCCCTATTGCAAGAGAACTATCCCCTTGCCACCTTCTATCAATCTTTTATTGTCCTCTTTATCTGTACTTGGCCTCGCTTTTCTTTTTTCCTAAGTACTTAACCTTTATCTTTTTGCCTTGGCCAATATATACTCCTGATTGACACAAGAACAATGTCAGGAAGAAGTGAGTGACTTACTATTTCATATTGTTAATGCTCTTGACAGGCAAATAGGACCACGCCACAGGAAAAGTCATTTCCATATTCCTTTTTCTCCCACCCTCTCTTGTATACTACAGGGAAGCCTGGACTAGCCAGACCACAGTGTTCCCCATGGTGTAGAGAAGACCGTTGATCCTCAGCAGCAAAACATGAAGGTTCTGCTGATGCAGGGCATGCACAGGAAAAAAGGAAGTAAAATAGCAGCTTATTCTTTCTGTCTTGGAAGAGGTGAGACACAGAAGGGAAAGGATGCCAAGAATGAAAAAAGTGGGCCTGTGATGGGATTTGTTGTGGTGGAACAAGATAATTCATCAGCAAAGCATGAGCGTGATCTCCAAGGTTGGGGCTGAACAGAGTCCATAACTGCTTAGAGATACTAAGCCATTGGAAGCTAATGCAAGTCCTACCCGGCTAAGCAACACTCAGGCCTTTGCCTAGCCAAGAGATGCAGTTGAGCTAAACAAAACGTAGTGACAGCCTGCATCTGTGGATGCCAGAAAAATGCAAAGCATCTTTGGGCTTATTTCAATGACCAGAAGAAAAAGCCAGCACCATACTCGAGAGCATCTCTTTTTTTCTGCTATCTTAGGACATGTAAGATACCCCATATAACCAGATAGAGAAGCAGAGAATGTGGAACTATGTGGCAGATTTAACTGTTATCCAAGAAGACTGAAAAACATCTAAGTTTTCAACATAAATTAAGCTTTAAGTCATATCAGATGATGAGTTAATTCCACCACCCCACCTCTCACCATCAGTGGTGTAAGACTAGAGAAATGAGAGGTTAAATAAAGCAATTACAGTTTTTTTGCACATAGGAGTTATAGTGTGAATTAAACTTTGTGATCCCTAATGAATGTAGTACTCCACTGAGTGACTAAACCATGACGAATTTACTCTGCTCCCTATGATTGAAATTTAAGTTTTCCCAATTTTGCACTATTAGAAATGTTATATGGACATCTTTGTGCCTTAAAACTTGAGCCCCAAAGAAGTAGTTCTTCAATAAAATTATCACTGGAAATATTTATGATCTACAGTTTCATGTCATACAGAAATATTTTGCTTTCTTGTAGTAGAAGATGAACTATTGATAGTATGGGTTCCTAAGAGCTATATTAAGAGATCACTTTCTCTGCATTAGAAATAAGCAAAATTTTTAAATGTTGAGAGAGAAGAAAAGGGAAGAGGGAAAAGAATATGGTGGAAGATGTGGGTCTAATGTTGAGAACTGGTCAAAGGATGTTTGAGAATGGAGATATTTGTAGTGGATTTTAAATTATGTTTCTGTGATGTATATCATGCCATTGCCTCAGTCTTTTATAAAGGCTTTTATTTATACATACACCTCAGAAATGGTATTATCTTGCCATTTTGTTGGTTAAGGGTGGCAGATATTAGTGTCAAGGTCAATGTGATGAGAAATCGGGACCACACAATTGACACGATCGGATGTCTGACAATGAGCCTTACAACCAGCGTTTCACTGTAAGCAGAAGCTGAGCACTGGAAGTGACTACAAGAGTTCAGTCCCTTTACCTACAGCTGAAAGTCAAAGTGTCCTAGAGGCCATGAAGATTTTCTAATCAGTAGAATGAGGAATTGAATCAGTCTTGTCTAGCTGGCAGAGTCTGACAAGTGAGATTATGTACATACACCTTTGCTGCCATCATCCAACAGAAAGAGCGGCTCCCTGATTTGTTCTGGAGGTTTCTTGCCCTCCAGCATCTCTGTGGCAGAACCCATACATCATCTTACTATCAGAGAGCAAAACCATGGCAGAGAGGAGAGACACTATATAAAAATGTATTTACAGTGCCTATTTTTATTTCTTTTAGGTAGCATAACTTACTAGGCCAATTGGTCCTTCCAAGACTTCTCTTTTCCCCTTATCCCTGTAGTATATCTGAGCTAATGCGACTCATTCTCATCAGCGAAGTAGTACACGTTTTATGAGGGTCTTGGATCTCCTTTAGGATCCCACCTTGAAATGGGTATCATAGATATTCAAACCTCAGCATATTTTCTGGACTCTGCCTCAGTCTAGAACCTTCCCTGTCAAGTTATTCTCTGTTGTAGCACTCAGCCTTTGTTTAGCAGAACAGTTCCAGTACATGTTCTCTGTCCTAGGCATCTGAGCCCTTCCTAGATGTCTTGCCTTGTCATTTAACATGTCCCTTTTATGGTGGCCTCCAATTGCCTGCCTGCTCTGCACCCTGGCATTTTTGGGCTTTTTGTTTCCTTTTATTTTCCCTTATCTCCTCTCAGTGTTGTTTAGGCTCTTTGCTCACCATCCTTGCTGCAGGAGGTTAAGCCTGCTTAGCCCATATCTGTGTTCATCATCAACACAGTATGCCGATTACTGACCTTACAACTCTCCTTGTAGTAAAAATGTCTTACGATGTAGCGCGCACATGTTTGAAAAGACAGACTTTTCTTGAAGCACCTTAAAAATCAAAAAGAAGGGCAGTCATCATCTCATATGATTAATAGAATCTGAACAGGGATGGCAAAGTAGCTGAAATACTGCCAAAGAAGGGATAGTACAGATTAGTCCCCCAAAAGCAGAAAACTTAATTTTAAAAGAAGACTAAAATTTATAAACTGCGGACAGTCCTCGAACAGAATTTCCAGAGCCAGAGTCAACTTCAAATTTCTTCACTCTTGCTGTAAGCATCAGCTCTACTTGGCAGTGCAGTCTGGGAGTTAAAAACCCTGCCCAGGGCAGCCTTATTCTTGCCAAAAAGCCTGGGGTTGAAAGTATCCTGATAGCCTGACTGCAAGCAATCCGAAGCCTGGCATAATTGTATAGCATGAGGCTCTTGGGAGAATGATGATAAACCCGACTGGCAGGCTGCCTTGCCTTTCTAGAGGGGAAGCATGGGGAGCAGAAAATGTGCGGAAGGGAGGTGAGAAGGGAAAGCACAGCGTCAGCCCTCCTTGCTGCTTTCACCTTCAGAAATCAGAGCTGAAGGATGGAACCTAGAGACTGAGCAGGGAAAAAACCTCCGACTATCCGCAAATCAGGTCTCCATAGGAAGCTTTGTTGGCTCCAGACTCCTCTGTTAAATTCAAAAGAGAATTTTTCAACCACTGAACTTCTTAATTCCTTTTTTCTTTTCTTCATTTCTAGTACCTTTATATGTTGTTGTACATTAGTGTTTCCCTTAATGTTTAATAATAAGATCCAAGTATGGATGCATGGATGTGATAATGTACAAGCGTATATACAGTATCTCATGCCATCGCTACAACCAGGGAGATAAATTGAACAGGGCATTATTTCATCCTATTCTACAGATGATAAAACAGAGGCCCAGGGACTCATATGCTCAAAGTTAAAACACTGTGAATGGTAGAACTGAAACACATGTTTTCTGACCCAAAACTATTGCATTTTCTATTGTTACATGTCCATTCATGCAGGCTTGGGGCTCAACTAGTAAGAATTTAATCACACAAGCTCATTCCTTGATATAGTTGTATGTGTCTTAGACTAGACTGTATGATAGATTTTCTTTCTGTAAGTAATACTGGCATAAAGCACTTGTGCAGGAAACATGTCAAATGCCTAATAGGATTAGGCATTCTGCTCAGCTCAGCTCAGATGATGCCTTTGCTCACTCTTTATCCCAAGAGAGATGTCCAAGGAAGCAAAAATTATAAAGTAATTTAATGGGCACTTTTAGATACATATGAATAAGAAGACACAGAGACACTGAGGATATAGTATCTAATCTGAATGAGAAACTGAGGAAGAAAGTGATACCAGAGCTCTGTCTTCAAGGAGGAGAGGAGCCTGTCAAATAAAGACAGAAAAAAGTTTCTTAGAAGATCACCCCGCACACAGGTAGCATGGGACAAGGGATGTCCAGTGGAGCTGTAGCATGGTGTGCATGACGAGGAAGGGAGTTTGTGTGAGCACCAGCTTGTAGGTCTTCATTGACCAAGCTAAAGAATTTATATCTTATTATATAGGTAGGAGGATTTCAAAGAGATAAGTTGATATTTCGAGGAACATTCAATAAAATGGGTACTTGGATAACAAACTTCTGGAATTCGATGTGACTTGTTTGAAAATGAATTTTCATACATTTGGAGCAATGGTTCTAAACTGTGGGTATGCACCAGAACCAGAGTATGCCTAGATGACTTGTGAGGAAATAGATTGTTGGATCTCATGTCAGAGTTACTCAGTGAGCAGGGCTGGGGCAGGCCGGAGAATCTGCATATCTGACAAGTCCCTGGTGATGCTTGTTCAAACTCTCATTTTGAGAAATGCTCTCTACAGCTTCTGAAACGAGTCTGCCTGATGAGGACGTAGAATAAAGAGCTATAAGCTAACAATGCAGCAAAATTGGAACAAGAGGTATTTATTCAAGGCATTTGGAATACAATAGAGTTTTGGAGTTTCAAAAAAATCTGGACAAATGATTGAATCATTAAAAATAGATGTTATGTGCAAAGCACCATGCATACATAAATACACTACAAAAGAAGCTAACTTGTCATGAGTTGTCACTCTTAGAAATTCATGATAATGTGCTAAGGAAGAACAGGACACATATATGGACCTTCTTTGGTTTACCTGTAAGAGGCTGTGTGTGTGTGTGTGTGTTTCACCCCAGAAAGACAGAGCCATACCTGAGATAGAAGTTGTCATAAATTCTAAGATCTTCACCAAAATTATTCTGTTTATTAATGCAACTTTGATGGGAGAGAGGAAGTAAGTATTCAGAAGTCACAGACCATCTTATCATGTGACCGAATTGTTTTATGACTAAGAATCATCTGGCATTTAATCAGGTGGAAATAGAGAAAAAAACAAAACAAAACAAAACAAAAAAGACCTGAGTAATAAGAGGAAAAGCAGCAAGAGTAGGGAACTGGCTCAAGACGCTGCAGGGCTTTTTGTTTTTTAAAACAGACATCTTTAGCATTCTTTCCACCCCAGTGGAAGGCTGTAGTATCCTTTGTCTCAGTTGCACACAGCCTCTGAATGTGACAGCAGTGAATTTTAGACAGACCTTCCAATATCAAGTAGTGAGTCACTTTCTCTGACCTCCAGGCTGAGCGCCCATTCCAAAGGGAGTCTTGTTTCATGAAATATTGATAGAGAAGATTACACCAGAGCAATGCAAACAGAATGAATTATGCTACTTTGATGTGTTAAGCCAGCTTCCTGCCTTAAAGATTATGAGGCAAAAAATAGCCCTTAAAGAAAT